ATGCAACGGAATGCTTTTCTTCGGAAATTGTATAATAGATCCACCTTATTATACGGCACGCGTGCAATTCATTGGCCTTTTGACACCTGCTTGCTAATAGGATTATTAATCATTCTAGATAATACAATTCACAGTAATAGTGTTGCTATGTATTTAATACCATACACACATACAATGTCATTTATTTAACGCTGCTATATGGTGGCAGGTGCACACCCAAGCTGCCTACAAAATGATACAATTTTTTGGGAAATAACGAACTTCTCGCATTTTAAATAACTAAAATCATCTTATCACCTTACTACTCTGAGTCTGCATTTTTTACACTTGTTTGATGTCTTTAAATAGTATCGTTAGAGAATTTTATACACAATTTTACATATTTGTCTTCTCGACTATCCTAAGCGCGGGGAGGGCACATGATTATGTGAAACTTACAGTCGATATACATTGTTTAACCCTCTAATGATCGACCAAAAAACCTTTCTTGCAAAAGAGAACGTTTTATTTTATTTTACTTTTTTTTTTTCTCTCTCTCTTCTAATTTTTATTCTTTTTAAAGATGTACTTTACAATAGTAAATTCGACATGTTCAGTAACTAGTTTTCGTTGAATCATGCATATTGTAATAACTAAACTTGTACAAAGTTGTAAAATCCCAGATCACACGCATATCAAATTCATTATAATTTCTCGGTAATTAGAGGGCTATTAACCGTAAACGATGAATGACAAGTAACGAAGTATGAGCTTCATTTCATCGATATGTAATAATCTGACAATCATCACGTATCACGTTTTATATGAAATAAATGCTTTATACACTAATATTGACCAAAAGAAAGTGCGAAGCAGTTGCTTGTTGATCGTTATTTACCTTGTTATAATTCATTTTTTGTGTCTTTTCTCTCTCTCTCTCTCTCTCTCTCTCTTTCTCTCTCTCTGATATATTAATTTCTATTTCATAACTATGTGTGAAAATGTAAAGATCAATTTATAAAAGACAAAAAAAAAAAAATAGAAGTCAATCTTTCGCTAGACAATATCGTAGAAATAATCAATTCTTCTTAATCACGTAATGAAAAATGAAGAAAAATTGTAAGGAAAAAGGCAGTGCTTCCCACTAACTACATTTCTTTCGACTATCGAACTGTTCAAAAACTTAATGTTAACATGAATCGATCATAATTAAATTACTAACAAACTGTTTTTCTTTTCTTTCTTTTTAACCTTGGTTGCCCATGGCCTATAGGCTTGGAGTGCTAACAATGGAATCCACTCGCCCCGTGCTAACACCTGGACTCTGGAACAACATCCGCGTTCGATCGGTTCACCAACCAGATGACCACCTTCGCCGTTCGCATCACCAGCCCTGTTGTTCGTCAAGTTTATCCATCCTGTATCCTCTTCGTGTTTTTTAAATTGTATAGTCTCGTTTAAGTTACTTCTACTCGTTCTGTTAGCGCTCACTTTTACTCGTGTTTTCATATACGTCAGAAAGGTAAATTAAAATGCCTCTGAATTACTTAGCAACGATAGAGGATATGGATTCTTTATCTTGAATCGGCAATTAAGCGTATAGGATAGTTATCCACAAACGACGTGTGGAAAAGAAACATCTTCTAATCGAATAGAGAGAGAGTTTACAGCAGGTAAAAACGGCGTTTCATGTCCTTTTTTTCAGCGCGAACGAACGACGACAGTTTCTCGAATATTTGGTATTTTCAAATTTCTTGCAGATTTTAAAAACAAAATTTATCTCTTTTGACTTTTAATCCGTGTGGTGGTGATATGAATGAATGATCCACTATATAGAATTATAACACAATGCAAATATAATTTATTATTAATTTTCTCTTTCTTCTTAAACGTAACTATCTATCTTTTCTGTTTAGCGACACAGTTTACTCGACACTTATTGTTTTTTTTTTTTTTCCTTTTTATAGTATATTCTATCCAACAATCATTGATTTCGTGTCAATTTTGTCGGAAATAGTGTTATTTCCGACATGACGAGGAAACACATTTCGTTTTTTTTTTCTTTTTCTCTTACGTTAAAATACTAACTTATTTATTGTTAAGATACCGAATTTCGGATTTTTCCATTGTCACATTTCTTCCATTTGAAAAGTTTCGCAAGGTGTGATATAATCAAGAAAATGATGGATTTTCAAGGTTTTCAGCAATATCATTTCAAATATTTGTACATAATCCTTATTATTCATTCGGTAATCGTGTACATGTATACGCATGATTTACAAACATCAATATACGTGCGTAGAGAATTTTTTAAGGCACGTAACACTTTGAATTATATTTGATCAGTTTACGAAATATCAGATAGAATAAGATGCGTAATAACATTCTCTATATTGTAGATATGGTCTCGATTAATTTTTTATTATTGTTTTCTTGTTCATTAATTGTTCATTTATTTACAGTTTCAATTGACTGTTCAGAAAAAGTTACTCTAGTAACTACGACAAAATCTCGAATTCA